TCTTGTCAACAATGTTATTATTTACAGGCCGTCGTCAAATAGCTGGAGTACTGCTGTGTGCGGCTTTAAACAACCAACAAGCTAACAAGTCAATATGTGTTTCGTTACTTTATCGCGTCAGTATATATGTACCATATTTAATTTGCATGTGAATATATTTTCATGTTCTTTTCTTTCATTTCACTCTTAGAAACAGCGTCAATCTGTTAAGGTCGTAACACAAACGGGCCATAACTCAAGTTATGCTGACGTAATAAAATCATAACATTAATCCAGTTTGTAAACATTTTTTTCTAATAATGGCACCCGTCATTGTGAATAGGTCAACCACGCCAAGTCACAGGGATCACGTTCATACACACACAACAGCACAGGCAGCAGATTTATTACATCAAGGTGAACCCCTCACCCGTGTAAACACCACAAGCCTTCACATTATGCTGAAGGAGTGTTCTGTCGCCTGTGAGATACTCGACTACAATATTAGCCACTTGAGCAAGATATATGGACGGCGCTTATATGCTTCCTGACGGTGGTGTGGTGGCCTTAGTCAAGCCAATGGGTATTCGGCACCGTTCAGGGTAGAGCGTTAGGACATAAATCACGGGTGGAGATCTTGTTGATACACGGAACCAGGGGAATTGATACCTTGGTAAATAACGGTAATGGCGAATACTTGGGGCTTTAATACAAGTACTTTAAAGTGTGTCTACAATAAAACAAGGTAATTTGATGGCAGTAAATTGTGTTCCCTACAGGTGCATTGTGACATCAACTAAACGTAAAGAAGGTAAACGTTTTCTAACTATTTGGATGACGGATTTCCTAATCTGGAATTTCAAGAATGAATAATAATATAAATTTTTGTTTAAAGTTTTTTCCTTAGGGTCTGTAAACTATACTAAAAAATGGTATGGACAACAAATTCTTTCATATTACTATAGTTAATATTACTATATTTAATCTGTCATATTGACCCGTGAAGATCTGAGGAAGAATGGTCTCCAGCAATCCTTGCTTGCCATAAAAGGCGATTATGCTTGCCGTAAGAGGCGACTAAGAAGACTAACCGCCGTCATATAACTGCTGAGTGCGGCGTTAAACAACAAACAAACACACAAACAAATAATCTGTCATATGAAATGCTCAGGTGATCCTTGAATTATTTTGAGTAGTATATTTTCAGAAAGTAGCAAAACACATCCAACTTGGTTATATGAAGGGAGTACATTTTTAATTATCATTTCAAGCATCACCTTAAACTTTTTATATAGTTTTGGATTATCTTTAACCTTTACAACCATACTTTTACGAGCCCTGTATTTCTTAAACATGAAAATATACCAGTAAATTGATTAATTCATCTAGAAAAGGGGCTTACATTTATGAAGCTAAAGGTTTGGAGTTTTATACTGCAAACCTTGGGGCAGTTGGTTAGCCTAGTGGTTAAAGAGTTCGATCGTTATGCCAAAGGCCCGGTTCGATTCCCAACACGGACATTGTGTCAAGTCCATTTTTGGTTAAACCTTCAAACCTTCAAAAACTTCAAACCTTACCATATTTTTCCAGTATCCAGTCGACTGTCGGTTATATATATGACTGATGGAAGCAGTCATAAAAATAGTTGCTTCTTCAAAAAACGTGTTATTTAGAGAGGCAAATCATCCAGCGGTATGCCTCATCAATAAAACAAAGGTTTGAATTCATACATAGTACATAGTTATCACAATGCAATAACCGCAAACTCCCACTCACAACGTGTTTCATTGCTCAGTGTATCTTGAAACAACCCGTGAAGATCCGGGTTAGAATAGTCTTCAGCAACCCATGCTTGTCGCGAGAGGCCACTAACGGGATCGGGTGGTCAGGGTCGCTGACTTGGTTGATGTATGTCATCGTATCCAAAATGTGTAGATAGATGGTCACGGTGTCAATCACTGGATTGTCTCGTCTGGACACGATTATTGACTGACCGTGCCATATAGCTGGAAAATTGCTGAGTGCGGCGTTGAACAACAAAGAAAGAAAGAAGTATCTTGAAACAAATATATCCCTGACAATTATTGTTATATCTCATAAAAATGTCGATATATAGTGATTTGAACCTGGGGACACAGGGTGGTCCAGTGGCTTGAAACGCCGCTATTCACTGTACAGAGTTATAGCCCTTAGTCGTGCCTAGATCCGCTGATGGTAGGTTCGAATCCAAGGTTTGCCCTGAATGTAATAATTGATATGACAGCAGCATACCGTGCTAGTGTGTTTGAACAAAGTAGATACCACACACGAGCTGCATCCCGTTTGTCTGCAACCAATGCTAATTTGATCCGTATGGGCCTGTCAAAATGAAATTTCTTTATTTCGTTTTTTCAACATAAATTTAAAAAAACTTTGAGGCAATATTGACGCTTCTGAAATTCTCAAATGAATTATTTTAAAGAAAAACACGCTCTCATTCAAATAGTTCCTCTCCTCTCAATCACTCTGTTGGGCTTGGACAGACTTCTTTATGTCCTGCTAAATAGCCAAGCCCAGCATGACAAATAACTTGGGCGTCAAAGTTCAGCCATGCTAACATTCGCAGCTCTTGATGAAGGAGCTGCTGCTCTGACAATTTGTTGGCTAACAGAATTAAACATACACAATTAAAATGTCAAAGGTCTTCAGCGCTGTTATAATCAGAAAATAAGACATCCGGTAATTCACACGATTGCTTCTAGACGGAGCCAGAGCCCTCGTAATGTCAGCCCCCTGGCACCCCAGACGACGCGAGCAATTGTAGGGGCGTCCCAAGGGGGGACAACTCCGCTAAGCTGCTAGACAAATGTAAGTGCACGTGCAGACACGCGCAAAACCTATTTGTCAAGCGAAGCCAGATGTCTCGGACAAGAAAGTGTCGAAGGAAATACCCATGGGCCGGAACTAATCGCCATCTCGTATTGGACATCACGCCGAGAGGGGTAATAGCCTTGGCACAGGGAACTGTAATAGCTGCTTAATGCGCAGACTCGAGAAAATGGCGACCAGGCCTCCTAACTCGGCCCTGAAGGGAGCATTCATTGTTCATTTATGTCACAGCAAGGGTCGGCGAGGGCGCTTGCAATATTAAAGGCACCATTATAAATCCATTTAGAATTATTGATATTTCATGCTTGAGTGGCTCCAAATCAAGCTATAGATGGCAGTTTGAGGAAGACTTAATCCACTTTCTACCAGACTTGATTTGTTAGGCAATCGGGGCTGATTGTTTCAGTTATCATAATCATAATGCGAGGTAATTGAGTGATGTCCTGGGACAGGGGCGTCGCACACACAACTGCGCCTCACAGAACACAATGTGTTTTGCCACTCTGACTGGGCGCTTGCGTCACGCCACTCAATGCAAGGTCCCCTGGCTCCGTCGGAACGTCTAACGTTGATGTTAAGGCATTATGCAGTTCATTCAGTCGAACATGGGACCTCATGGGGCCCACTGGGATAATTTCAGAAATAATTAATCATACTCCAGTTAAAAATGTTTGAGTGCTGTTAGTTTTCCCTTGTGCATAAAGCACAGGACCGTGTTCCTATCGGGACTCTAATTAGGGATAACGCGGTACTAATGTGGCTGTTGTTTTATAACGCAGCTAAGTACTTTCTATATATAACAGTTGACACTTTGAGATAGTCATCGAGTTATTCCAAAAGGCTGGAAGACCTCAAGTAACACGTGGCCCTAAATACGTCACAATGGAATTCCGTTTATGTACACCCGGTACAACATTTTGATTGAACATATCTCGTAAAATAAACAATACACCTTTAAAGGAAATTTTGCGAGTTGAGATTTCTATAAAAAAAAACATCGATCTAAAAAAGCAATCTATCAAATCAGTTTTTAACTGCATAATGCTATCGATGTAAAGGTATGTAGTATATGTAGCGACCTATAGAAAGAAGTTTGTTCCATGTTATAACTGTCCGTAAATGGTTTCGAATTTAACTACCCTACATGCCGACCGTTGTATTAATCTTTCACTTTTAACAGTATTCAGTTATAACATGGCGTGTCAGCTTGATGTTAGAGAAGCACCCATAGTGATACAGGTCCTAGGCGATGAATGGTATGGTGCTGACAAACCAAGATACAATACTAAGACGAATCTGGAGTTAAACCAAACGATCATCGGAGTCTGCATTACTAAGGGAAGCAACTCTGACTCTTGATTGGGGCGCCTTTGAGGACTGCGATACTCGTGACCCCAGTCCTTTCGACTCCATCCATTGTCTAGTGATCAGAGCGTTTACCCGGGGAGCGTAAGATCGGTTGTATGTTCCCCGGTCGCGTCATACCAAAAGACGTTAAAAGAAGGATGGTACTTGTTATTGCCTTGTCCGACGATCGACTTTAGGGCATAAAACTGGCAAAGGTCAAGACTAGAACAAGCTGATTTTCCCATGGCTGTGACGTTATTCACATGCAAGAGACATAGTCTATGACGTCTATTTGACGTCAACAAATGACGTGTACTTAACGCCAACAGTGCAATAGGGCATGTGGAAACATTACTACGGCTGTACAGTGTGGTCTTCATTAACTCGCTTATCTCGATGCTTCGAGGAACATTGAATGAATGAATGAACGAATGAATGGTATTAGCCTATTGTCTTTACCAAGCAGGGTTGGTGAGGTAGCCTAGTGGTTAAAGCGTTCGCTCGTCACACCGAAGACCCGGATTCGAATCGTCACATGGGTACAATGTGTGAAGCCAATTTCTGGTGTCCCCCGCCGTGATATTGCTGGAGTATTGCTAAAAGCGGCGTAAAATCATACTCACTCTCTCACATTGCCGAGCCACAAATGATCCTTTATTCTAAGTTTGGAGTAGAATATTCTGTACGCCACCCACAGTAATGTTAGGGGCTAAAAATAAGAATGGCACCTGGTGAAAATTCAGAAAGAAACACTCAATCTTAAAAGACTAATTTAGATTGAAAAAATGGGTTAAATATGCGCGTACCTGCAGCCTCTCCTATCCGCCTCCTCTTCGACACCATGAAGACGCTGACCTCCTCCCCGACCGTCATCTCCTCCTCCTCCGCCGCAGACTGGAAGTACCCGAACAGCTGGGGGACAAACGCAACGTTTAGAGTTAAGAATACATTGGGTTTAAAGTGCACTCGGAGCAGCACCTCGATTTCCGAATCTCGTAAACGAGATTCTCTATCCACGAGATCACAGAGGCGATCACAAAACTAAGAACATATTGTTATAGAAATCTCGGGAAGAGACATCCAGCAAAGGAACCTGTGCTCCGTTTCACGAACGCTACGAATGTCGTAATTCCCATACTTTAACGTAGACGTACGACGATCGTAGTGCTACGACTGCTTCGGGGATGCCCTGTTCCTCAGACATATTCAGTTCTCTACCACAGTTAAACGTGTTCTGAGCTGTTGTTTTGCGCCAGTGGTGAAAGAAGAACCCATGTATATGGATTGCCTGATTTACGAACTTGAATGTGCATGTTCATTTACGCTTTAGTCTGGACAATCAGGTGTTTAATACAATGAGCAGCTTCAGCGTCGGGGGCACGGGTGGCCCAGTCGTCTAAAGGCGCCGCGATTCGCTGTGCAGAGTTGCGTCCCTTGGGCACTCCAGAAACCTATGATTGTTGGTTCGAACCCCGGTTCGCCCCGATTATGTTTCTAGGTTTGTCAGCACCATACCCGTGCTCGTGGGTTTCACCGAAGTGCTAAACGTCTGAGACCTGCATCACACATGGTTAAAACGTACTAGAAAGACCCTGGTTCGATTCCCCACATGGATACAAAGTGTGAAACCCATTTCTGGCGTTCCCTATCGTGATGTCGCTGGAATATTGCTAAAAGCGGCGTGAAACCACACTCCCTCGCTGTACGTGCATCACGATGCTCGATACGCATATCGTATCGTGAAGACACACATTGTATCGTGAAGACACACATTGTATCGTGAAGACACACATTGTATCGCATCCGTAATGTATGTAAACGCGCGACAAAAAGCATAAATATGTACAGCTAAATTTTTCCAACGATATGCACACGGGTTTTGAAACCGTTGTTTACTCAATTACTCAATGTACTCAAGTTTACTAAATACGTGTACATGTGTGTTTGAGGATTTCTCTCTTGTGATATTCTTAACTAAGCTTAACTCTTTACTAAACTCCTAACATGAAAGGTGTTTGTTTTATGTATCGTATTGTGCACCTTATCGCGTCCTTACAGTCAAGATATGTATCGCACCGCTACAAAGGGTATTGTTACAATGCTAAGTATTGTTGAAAATGTCACAATGAAGTATATCAACATTTGTCAACTGTGATACAATCTATGCTTTTGCCGCACTGGTTCCACATGGTAGTCGCTTAGAATGATGAACTGAAAATACCGTTTTACCTTATTAGTCTCCGTTATTCCTGTCATTGATGATTAAAGACGCTAGATATATCTAAAGAATATACGTTATTATCTCTTGTATGAGAACTTAAAAGTTGAAACAGTATCACCGCCATAACTTGAATGTCAGTTTTATGGTTATTTTGGTTAAAGTTTATGGTTAAAGTGTGTTTGTTTATTTGTTAGTTAGTTGTTTAACGCTCAGCTATGTGACGGCGGTCTGTAAATAATCGAGTCTGGACCAGACAATCAAGTGATTGGCATCATGAGGAATGATCCACGCAATTGGGATACGATGACGTGCAAAAGCTGAGTCAGCGATACTGACCACCCGACCAATTACGGTCGATTGCAGGATTTGCAAAGCATATGTACCGCCGACTCGGCATCAGTAAATAGTTTCCAAATCTTTTCATATTTGTGATCAAGGTGCTCATGTGCTTTGATGCACTTCTGATTATCACAGCCATTTTGTTTGAAGCAAATGCAAGTGGTATGAGAGGTGGAATCTGATTGATCAACAGAAGGGACATAGACGGGACATAACTCGTTATCGCCACTGGCCCAGAAATTCCAGCCTAGTTCGGCAAGGACTGAAACTGAGCTTTTAAGTCAGTTAGTCTCCTTGCATCAGGAAGATGCGGATATCCTGGCGCATGCTCAGTAGTGTGCCTGGTCCTAATACGATAACGTGCAGGTACAAACATAATTATCTCCCTTGTGTATATATGAAATAACGGAATCAATAGCGAATCCAGGTTGTACGGGACAAGAGGCTGAATATTGCTGGTCTGTGACATTTATCAACAAGCTCAGTCTCTCTCCTGAACAGAAGAATGTTTCACTTACCTCGCTCCAGTCAACCTTGGCATCAGGGTTTGTGGAGATCTTCCTGTAGACAGCTTTCAAATCTTGGTTCTTGATATCAGACCCGAATAATTCTCTGATCTTCTCGCAGAACTGATCATACCTCAGATTCTCTACAACATACAGCAGGCAGTGAGTCGTGTGTTCTTTACAGATAATTATAAACGATAGCCCGACAATATGTGGCTAGTAACATTTCCAAAGGATGGGTTGAATTTCTAATGATGCAATAGAACAGTCACACCACGCTGTCTGATTCTTCTCATTAGTCGCGACTAAACGCGTGTACACATTAGTTTAGTTCCCATTAGAGTACACGATACACATAAACTGCCGGCCAAAAGAAAGTACATTTATACACTTGAAAATTGGAATAGCCTAAAATATGACTAGCGTTATCAAACCGTTACAAGGCTGAAAACAGTTGAGGTTAACACTGCAAAGTTAAGGTTCAAACCACAACTTTGATACTCGTATCAAATACATCAATAACGAATAACCATTTCTTGTTTGTTTCATTTCTGCCACATTCCAAACATGGGTGCATACTTTTTTGCAGTTTATATGCATAGTATAAATTATATACTATGTACAAAATATATATACATACTGAAACAGTTTATCTAAAATCGGCCTACATCATCCTTTTGACTAAATTTCAATTCTGTCATGATAATCAAGGATGATCTGAAGAAGAACTCGCTATAAATATTTATTGGGCAACGTCTTTTGGCGCGCGAGTCCTCCTTATCTTTAATCGACATTTTAATGGGCTAGGCATTACACAGATCAATATATCAGTATTTGTAGCACGTTATGCTAGGTCTATAGAATTATACCTTTTTCGGTACCAAGATAATCTGTGGAAATTCCGCGTGAAAAAAGGTCTCCAGCAACCTGTCCTGGTCGTACGAGGTGACTTAAGTGTCCGTGTGGTCAGGCTCGCTGACTTAAGTGTCCGTGTGGCCAGGCTCGCTGACTTAAGTGGCCGTGTAGTCAGACTCGCTGACTTAAGTGGCCGTGTGGTCAGGCTCGCTGACTTAAGCAGCCGTGTGGTGAGGCTCGGTGACCTGGTTGCTGCGGTGTCATCGTACCCCGGCGGCGTGAATAATTGTTCATAATTACGATCTCTGGTTAATATATTGCTGAATGTCGTGTTAAACAACAAACACACAAACCAGAAGAAAACAAATATAATAAGATACTCACTCGAATGGAGTGATTGTAATACAAAAAATCTTTATAAATTATATATATTTTCGAGTTTTGAACAAGAAACAGCAACCCGTAGTACACAACCGTGACGTCGTTTCCACCTGCCAAGTCGTCGCTGAAAGCCCTTTTGTTCGTGGCGCTGATAAAGAGTACAATTCTTAGCTCAGGGAAACTTAAGAGGCGCATGGTAATTGTAGTCATTACAAACTTGATAAAAACCATAGTCAAATGTCTCCCTCGTCAGGGGGAACATAATTATGTCATAAACATGTCGAACACAGGCGCTTCTGTCGAGCGAACAGTTTATTTAACGCCCCCTTTCAAACTATAAAATCGGCATTAGGAGAAGCATGATTGAGACTCTGCCAGGAGACTTGGTAATCGACTTAGTGCTCGTTTCGGCGGTTCCTAGTTTTCGCTGACAATGGATATATTATAATCTGCTTTCCCGGGAGTTTCCTTACTGTGCCGGCTTTACTAAAAGAAAGTGACAAGTCCATGTTAAGACTCTCGCTGAAGTGACGAAACCGATTTGGTTGGGATTTTAATTTGATTTACATTGAAACAGATATGATATCTGAATCCCCCGGGCCTCTAGCACTCCAGTGCTTGTCGGGGGGATGTGAGACGTTGATTATAATATAATGTTTTACTGGCCCGGTTCGATTATTTACAGGTCGCGTGAAATAGCTGGAATATTGGTGACGTTGGCGTTAAACAACATTCAATCATTCATCCTTCGAGTTAAACACACACACACACACACACACACACACACACACACACACACACACACACACACACACACACATATATATATATATATATATATATATATATTAATGAAGACAATTTTGATTTGTTTATTCATTGGTAGATTGTTTTAGTTAACACCCATTTATATAAAGCTGGGCATCACCCCATATACCCGTAATAAAACATGCTGTATCCGTGCTTGTACCACCATACCATAGCTTGTGAGTGTGACCTATCTACAGACAGACAGACAGACAGACAGACAGACATATCTACAGACAGACATGCATATCCACAGAAAGACAGACATATCTACAGGCAGACATATCTACAGGCAGACATATCTACAGACAGACATATCTACAGGCAGACATATCTACAGGCAGACATATCTACAGGCAGACATATCTACAGACAGACAGGTATATCTACAGACAGACATATCTACAGGCAGACATATCTACAGGCAGACATATCTACAGGCAGACATATCTACAGGCAGACATATCTACAGACAGACAGGTATATCTACAGACAGACATATCTACAGGCAGACATATCTACAGGCAGACATATCTACAGACAGGTATATCTACAGACAGACATATCTACAGGCAGACATATCTACAGACAGGCATATCTACAGGCAGACATATCTACAGGCAGACATATCTACAGGCAGACATATCTACAGACAGACAGGTATATCTACAGACAGACATATCTACAGGCAGACATAGCTACAGGCAGACATATCTACAGGCAGACATATCTACAGACAGACAGGCATATCTACAGACAGACAGGCATATCCACAGAAAGACAGACATATCTACAGAAAGACAGACATATCTACAGACAGACATATCTACAGACAGACATGCATATCCACAGAAAGACAGACATATCTACAGACAGACATGCATATCTACAGAAAGACAGACATATCTACAGACAGACATGCATATCCACAGAAAGACAGACATATCTACAGACAGACATATCTACAGACAGACATGCATATCCACAGAAAGACAGACATATCTACAGGCAGACATATCTACAGGCAGACATATCTACAGACAGACATATCTACAGGCAGACATATCTACAGGCAGACATATCTACAGACAGACATATCTACAGACAGACATATCTACAGGCAGACAGGCATATCTACAGACAGACATATCTACAGGCAGACATATCTACAGACAGACATATCTACAGGCAGACATATCTACAGACAGACAGGCATATCTACAGACAGACAGACATATCTACAGGCAGACATATCTACAGACAGACAGGCATATCTACAGACAGACAGACATATCTACAGGCAGACATATCTACAGGCAGACATATCTACAGACAGACAGGCATATCTACAGACAGACAGACATATCTACAGGCAGACATATCTACAGAAAGACAGACATATCTACAGGCAGACAGACATATCTACAGACAGACAGGCATATCTACAGACAGACATATCTACAGGCAGACATATCTACAGGCAGACAGGCATATCTACAGACAGACAGGCATATCTACAGACAGACAGACATATCTACAGGCAGACATATCTACAGGCAGACATATCTACAGACAGACAGGCATATCCACAGAAAGACAGACATATCTACAGGCAGACAGACATATCTACAGACAGACAGGCATATCTACAGACAGACATATCTACAGGCAGACATATCTACAGGCAGACATATCTACAGGCAGACATATCTACAGACAGACATATCTACAGACAGACAGACATATCTACAGGCAGACATATCTACAGACAGACAGGTATATCTACAGACAGACAGACATATCTACAGGCAGACATATCTACAGGCAGACATATCTACAGACAGACAGGCATATCTACAGACAGACAGACATATCTACAGGCAGACATATCTACGGACAGACAGGCATATCTACAGACAGACAGACATATCTACAGGCAGACATATCTACAGGCAGACATATCTACAGACAGACAGGCATATCTACAGACAGACAGACATATCTACAGGCAGACATATCTACAGAAAGACAGACATATCTACAGGCAGACAGACATATCTACAGACAGACAGGCATATCTACAGACAGACATATCTACAGGCAGACATATCTACAGGCAGACAGGCATATCTACAGACAGACAGGCATATCTACAGACAGACAGACATATCTACAGGCAGACATATCTACAGAGAGACAGGCATATCCACAGAAAGACAGACATATCTACAGGCAGACAGACATATCTACAGACAGACAGGCATATCTACAGACAGACATATCTACAGGCAGACATATCTACAGGCAGACATATCTACAGGCAGACATATCTACAGACAGACATATCTACAGACAGACATATCTACAGACAGACATATCTACAGGCAGACATATCTACAGACAGACAGGCATATCTACAGACAGACAGACATATCTACAGACAGACATATCTACAGGCAGACATATCTACAGACAGACAGGCATATCTACAGACAGACAGACATATCTACAGGCAGACATATCTACAGAAAGACAGACATATCTACAGGCAGACAGACATATCTACAGACAGACAGGCATATCTACAGACAGACAGACATATCTACAGGCAGACAGACATATCTACAGACAGACAGACATATCTACAGGCAGACATGTCTACAGGCAGACAGGCATATCTACAGACAGACAGGCATATCTACAGACAGACAGACATATCTACAGGCAGACATATCTACAGGCAGACATATCTACAGACAGACAGGCATATCCACAGAAAGACAGACATATCTACAGGCAGACAGACATATCTACAGGCAGACATATCTACAGGCAGACATATCTACAGACAGACATATCTACAGACAGACATATCTACAGACAGACATATCTACAGGCAGACATATCTACAGACAGACAGGCATATCTACAGACAGACATATCTACAGACAGACATATCTACAGGCAGACATATCTACAGACAGACATATCTACAGGCAGACATATCTACAGACAGACAGACATATCTACAGACACACATACATATCTACAGACAGACATATCTACAGACAGACATATCTACAGACAGACATATCTACAG